AGTGTAAGTTGTGTATGAAGCAACAAAAACAGTCTAATCACAGGGTTCATGAATAACTCAAGTCCCACTGATTTCAGTGTGTCTACACAAAGCATAACTAAGCATAGATTCAAGCAATTATTACTATTGTTGTTACATTACATGTATACCTTGCCTTTGTTCCTCTTGCAAGGAACTCGGGACAGCTTAAAAGCATCTCTTCCTCTCCATTTTAATATCAGAACAACTCTGTGCAGTCGGTTGCAATGAGAGTCAGTGACTGTCCCTAAGTTACCCAGTGAACTTCATGGTTGAGTACAAACTAGAATCCTGGATCTCACAAGTGCCTGTTCAGTCTATGCATCCCAATGCTTATTATACAAATTCATATTTTATTTAGGATGAAATCACATCATATAAATGCAAAAAACAAACCTCTCCACCTTGTCTTAGGTTTTAAAAACTATTTATGTCTTGAACAGTTTAGAAGCTTCAGCTTGTCAAAGCTGTGCAAATTTCTGGCGCTCTTTTCTGTTCATTTGCATACTCATACATTTTTCTGTACTCAGAAACTTGTCTGGAACAATAGCTTTCATTTCCCTGATGTAGCATCAAACAAACATGATGGAATCATTGGGGATTACAGGGAACCTTCATTTTTATCCAGCTACTTTTATCCACTGAAGGAAAATTTGATTTTTCTGCTTTAATAATATGCTAATTAAAGAGAGGCATATTAATGGGGAATTTCTGAGCACAGTTTCTTAGTAGTAACATTACTGGGCAGAATGAGATACACTTTTGGGTAAATAGACTCATGACCGCACTGCACAGATAGCAAGCACTTTCTGTCGCAAGGTTTTTCTGCGGCTAACTTGCCAAACAGTTAAAAGCACATTTTGGTTCCCATGTTGTGAAAGAAGAAGGTGATGCTGTTTTAGCTAGTGCATAATCAGTTTGAATTTTCCAGGTGCAGAAACTGTTATTTTGAATTGATTGGAAAATAGGCATTCTTCCTTACGGGCATCTGACTCAGGGCATAAGGTGTAGCAGTGACTATTTAGATGAAGCACCCTGGAAGGGAGAAGAGGAGGCCGGGGCACCATTTGTATGTGGTGTAAGCCACTTCCCCCAGCCTGTTGCAATTCTTTGCATGCACCTTCTGCTTACTCCCACAGACCTCTCCGAAGCTGCTTTCCAACCTTGGTGCCATTCTTTTTATGCTGGCTGCCAGGCAGATGGAGGACTCCCATTTGGAGTTCAGGCTCCAAGTTCATAGGATGTTGGAGCTGGGATTCCAAATAATCCGATGCCCCCACTCAAGACATTGTTGGGAAACCACTGGATGGTTCCTAAAGGAACAATCCTCAGAAGGTTTAGACCTAGAAAAGGTGGGGCATGCTAGGAGTTGAAGGCCTTTCTTTCTCTCTAAACTTGCAGAAAATGTACTTAAGCTCATTTGGTATTTACACACAGGCTCCATCCCTTGGGAAGTGGAAGGCAAAAGGACTGGCATGATGTAAATTGCTTATTACATTATTGATGACACAGAAAGTTCCCTATTCTCCTCTGCAAAGTGGGCAGTCCCATTGTAGGTTGCTGCTATCCAGTCAAAATTACTTTAGATTATAAATTTGAGTTTAGGGTAAATGATCAAATTCTTCAAGGAAAAGCAAAGAGTCTTGGTGGATGTGCTCTCCCACCACTTGATTTGCATTTGTGCAAAGACAGAATAATGGAGGAGTCTTGCTTATATTCCCTACATGCAATAGTACAAAGATTGCAGCATTATTCTGCTTAAAGTGGTGGTGGGGGGTTAGATTGGAGCTCGCATTGACTAAGTCAGCCTTCTCCAACCTGGTGGCCTTCAGAGGCATTTGGGCCGCAACCACCAGAATTCCCATCCAGCAGAGCCTGATTGGGAATTCAGGCTGTTGCTGTCCAAACAGGTCTAGAAGGCACAATGTTGGAGAAGTTCATTTCCTTTGCCCGTTTCACAGATAAGTCTGCTGTCTTCTGGATTGTTGATCGTACATGTTAAGGTGCCTCAGGACCTTCCTGTATGATGGTTGTGGCATGGTTCTGAACTGGGTGAAAGGACATGAAGTGGGTCTTCAGGACTGGTGGGAAATGGGATCTTGGACTGCCTGTGCTATTCTGGGGCATGTACATGCTAGCTCTGTGAGATTCCAAAATAGGAGTTAAGACAACGTGTTAATGTGGCCAAGAACCAAACTGATGCATCACGTTACTGTCATGCTGGCCTTTGATGAATCATAAGACCTGCTACTGAGTTGTATCAGCAATTGTTTGCCATTAATTGAGCTCCAAGATGAGTTTCCATCAGGCCAGCAACTTCTTTGGCTTCTTAAAGAAACACCCAAGCAAGTACTTAGGTTTCTGTGGAAAGTTCAACTTGAAGGGGGTCTGTCTACATTATGTAAGTGGTACCTCTCATAGGCAGAGTTACTCACTGAAAGAGTAAAGTGGGTTGTTTGATAGGGTACTATACATAACCCAGGATTCATGATCTTAGTGTTAAAAGGCATTTGGCCTGCTCAATGCTAAAGTATTATGGATTTCTAAAAAGGAGCCAAGTGGTTTGGAGTTTCTTGTTGACTTCATGGTTGACCAACTGCAAAAGTGGCTAGGAGCATTCCACATCACAACACTTTGTTGCGACTCATCCTTGTTTTTATTTAGAATGTACCAGTCAGTTATGGCAGTGAAGCACTGGATCAAAGAAGCAGCCTGTCTGCTCAGGTTTCTTGTTTCTCACAGCAGTGACTTAAATGCTCTTAACTCCCCCAGGTCAATTTAGCCAATATTTAAGCAGCTGATAAATGACTGTCTGGTTGCCTAAGATGAGTGTTGACTTCTTGTATTATTCTTTTATTGTCTCTCCTCCCATAATGGCCCTTTTCTAAAGGTCGAATTCAATTTCCACTTTCACAAGTGTCGTAAATCACAAGAGATTCCAGAGAGGTCAGTTCACAGTGTAAAATAAATATAAGCCACAAATTGATATACTTGATTTATAAGACTGATGCTTCCTTTTCACTACAATTTTTGTCAAGTGTGCTAGAAAAAACTGAAAATATAGGAAGAAAGCATTGTTACACAATTGGTTTGCCAGATTATTTCCTAGTAAAAGCTGATAATTTGATATAGTAAATTAATTCTATAATGTACCCTGAACTTTCAGTTAGAAGTATTACACTACAGCTCCAGTTAAGAGCTTTTCTGGCTGCATTTTAACATATTGCAAGAACCGTAATGGAAAAAGAAACTCTCAGCAATATACAAAGTCATCCGTTTTCTGACCTTGCTCTCATCCTTTCTTTTTCAATGAAGAACTTGCAGTGGAAGGATAAAGAATAAATCCCCATTTCATGTCGTTTGTGGTTTTGTTTTTTAAATTGGACTCTCACCAGCCTTTCTTTCAGTCCGGTTGCCTGTCAAATTAAAAGAATACAGGCATATTGTAAGAATTTCCTAGGATTCAAAGAATCTTAATTAGCATTAAATTGATGTTTTGGAAATGGACCAAAAACTATAGGAGCTGTTGTCAGCAGAGACAGGACTTGAATACTCCTTGCTTGCAGACAAGTGAATATGTTGTGCTCTGTGACAGGGAGCAGAGAACAAATAAAATTGTGGTCCTTGCTAAACAGGTGCCTGCTTATCAGTATGTAAAAAAATTGCTTCATTTCAATGTGGTCCCGCAGAGAACTGTCCAAGAGCAACACTGAGCAGAGAGGAGCTTGCCGCTCTTCCAAGCAATTCTGGATCATCTTAACCTGTGACAATAGGTTATGGACTTTGCCAATTGTTCTGAAGAGCACATCTGGCCAGAATATTGTGGATTCTCATTGCATTGCATTGCATTGCACTATGTTCCTTTAGAGCAGGATCTTATTCAGCTTTTCATACTATTTGGCAAGACTTGGTTTGGACGTTAAATGTAAGGCCCTGTGATTACTTTGGACAGATACATGTGTTCGTGTATTAAGAACAAAGAGAAAATAATTAAAACTGTCACAAAAGAAATGCCTTTCTATTATGTGGAATAATTCAAAGAGATTATTTTTTTCTCTCTCCATTTCCAACAACATGCCTTCTTTGTCTTTTCTGGGAACATGGGAAAAAATGGACATTTCTTTGACCTCTGAAGTTACACCTATGCACCCTATTACTCTTGACTTCAAGTATACTCAAGATACAGATGTTTAAAGTGAGTCTTGAGTGGACAAGTTCTCAATAAGAACTTTCACACAACATTTTGGCAGTGGACCTGTACCACTCCCAAACTGGGACTATTTAGGTGTGAATATTGTTTAAAAGGTTGCAGGGCAGTGGCACTGTTGCAGTATTACTTTGTCCGTCCGTCTAAACGTATTTTAGCGGCACTGCCTGAGGTAACGGAGTTCCTTTCAACAACTATCCCTCTTTTCCCTTCCAGAATGCTGAGATACAGCATCATCATTCCAGAGGTTTCTGGGGAAAATTGCTGGAAGAAATATTGAAAAAAATGTTTTTGGCCTCTCCAAAACGGCTCCTGTCTCCATGTGGAACCATGTTCCTTATTTTGAGGGCCACTGAACTTTGCAGAAAAAAAATGTGGCAGGGGGAACATCTAATGAGACTACTGTTTGAGGTCTATCACTGATTTCATCTATATGCCCATTATCCAAGCTAAAATGGGACCAGACTAAAAATTACCATGCATGGTAGCTCTGCAGAGCAAGTTGGACAGCTGCCTCCTGTAACTGATTTTGGACACTGTGCAAGGGCAGCAGATGGTTCTTCTATTCATAATTGTTGTGTTTCCACTGGCCAAGGAGGAGAAAGGTGCTTGTGGGGTTTTCTTCCTTGGCCACCCTTGGGGTGATGCACTTGATTCAGGAATGGGGTGGAGCGGTGGTGGAGGCATGAGCACTGGCCATCACTGCAGCGGAAGCCCTTGGGCCAGCCCTGCTCCTGGGAGTCATTTCACCGGTGCCTTTTCTTTCTTCACACAGGAGGTACCTGCCAGAGCCCTGCTCTTCCAGCCCTGGTACGTCCTCCAGCCCCACCCCTGCAGCCTTCGCTGGATATCAAGCCCTTTCTTCCATTCCCTCTGGATACTGCGGCAGCTGTCAATCTCTTCCCCAACTTCAGTGCAGTAAGTACTGTGTTGAAGGGTGAATGGGTACCGTGTGCTGTGTCATTTTGTTATTAGCAAAACAAATGTTTGCATACAAATTGCAGAAATGCCCATGCCTGTAAAAGTGGGGGTTCAGGTGTTGAGGGGAAATCCCACAAAAATTAACAAGAAAACAAACCCATGCCAGGATAGCAATCTACTTCTCATTTGTATGTGTCCAATTAATCACTGAAATTATCAACACTAATGGAAGAACATGTCCGTTCCATCATTTTCAAGTAGTTAAATGTGCATTAATACTTAGCAATGTTTTTCATGGGTTCTATGTAATTGCTCCAAATAATTATTTAAATTATTCTTACTGACAAATAATTAACCTAGGCTGATTAATCTCAGAATGATTGCATGCAGGTTCAGCATTTCAAGCAATCTCTGTAAAAGGATACCAGAAGAGGGGGTGTACCCCAGGCATTTCTTATTTCTTAATTTTTATCACATTTGTAACCCAACCAACAGCCAAGGTTCTCTGAATACCCATAGATAAATCAAAGACACGAAACACACGATGATAAAACATTAACAATAAAGCAGCACAAGTTGAAATCCAAAGCAGGGGTGAAAACGGTGCAACCGCAATCATCATTGCAAAATTTGACAGCAGGGATCTAGCAGTACAAAGCTCTAGAAACCCTGCAGTAGTTTCTCAAATGCCATGCAAAATAAAAACGTTTTCTTCAGCACTGGAAAGACCAGCATGTGGGTGCCAGGTCTGATCCTCCCACAGATGGGATGCAAAGGGCCAGCTGCCTCCCCAAGTGCACTCGGGGACTTTGCTCTTTCCGTGTCCCTGAGTAGAAAGTGGCCTGGTGGAGCAGCTGGATGTGGCAGTGGCAGGGGGCGGACTAGCCATCCCAGCCCTTACAACCTTTCTCACATCTTCCTTACATACAGTATGGGAGTGTGTGACCTTCCCTGCAATCACCAAGTGTCACCGTTCCTTGGCATAGAAAAGGCCTTGATACCTATTCTGATGAACCAGCCCTGCAGTCTTTAGCCTAGAAGTGGAACCTAGGAATGCAAGGTGCAGCTAGAGTTTGCTCTTGCCTGCACCTTTGCTCCTGCAAGGTGCCTGCCTCTGATTTTGTCCATTCTCCCGATATCTGTCCCACCTCATTAGAGCAGTTCTGCAGGGCTGTTCAAGGTATAGGTTTGGGGAGGGAGGTACCTGTGTAGGGTGCTGCAGGATTAGAGGAGATGGCAGGAATCTCTTTAGGAAACGATTTTCTGGCTACAACTCAAAGATGTCCAGGAAATGGGAACGCAGCTGAAGTATTTCTGATGAGCAACTAGCAAAGGACATGCTTGATATGAGGCTGATTGGTGTGAGGTGAGGCGAGATGCTTCATACCAGCCTCTGTGTAGATTCTGGTAGTACAAAGCCACTTAATGTGCTGTCCAGTATGACAAACTGGGGCACGCTGGCAGTTTCAGACCTCCTTTACGTACATTTTTCTGTGCATAACCCTACATTCAAAAGAAGCAAACAAATTCAGTGGGGTTTACCTCAGAGTTCACCTGTGTAAGATTGACCAATTATTGGTATTCCATAGCCCACCCAATGAGGATTTCTATCTGGATAGGATTGCACAGATAATACAGTAAAATAGAATGTGTGTGTTGTCAGAGCTTTTAAGTGTTTATGTTTGATTCATAACTGCTTTTTGTTCCACGGATCCATGAACTTGGCAGCTGTTATGTTCAGTCCATAACTAGTTTTGCCTACCTTTGTCTTGGTTTTCATCGAAAAGAATTCTGCATAATTCTTTGGGTTGAGAGCTTTGCGCTGATCAAACAGCACAGAAATGCCTAAATAAAATAAAATAAAATAAATAGCAGAATTAATTATATGATTATTATAACGATGCTAATTTTATGTATGGAATTTTGAATCCACAAAATGAAGTTTAAGCTCTGCAAATCAGATTTATATTTTACATAATTTGCACTCTTTTCTTCTTTAACTGCACCTTCTGCTTCCTCAGTAAAGTAGTCAGATACTACTATAGCATTGCAACTGAGATGTGAGTATTGAGATCAATGGAAACCCCTTACTATAAGGATACACAGGTGGCATCCTATAAGTCAGTAATTTTAGGAAGGCTGGGAGTTTATCGGGGGAGACACTGTGTTCTTGGTGATTAAATCTTGGTGGTCCACTCCTACCTATGGCAAATGCTAATGCTTTTCTACTGCTGTACTTAAGAATGGCATTAGAAAAGGGGGACTGCACTTTGTGGGAGACAGTGAAGTGTCTTATTCCAGTCAATTACCCTCTTCTTTCAATTAAGCTCTAGTATCCCTTCCCTTGTGTCATGGTGGCAGTTCAGACATCAGACTGCTGCTGACAGAGGAAAGAAATTCACAACATTAGGGTTCCATGCAAAGATGATTTGTAAAGATGCGGAAAAGTGAGCAACAAGGAGTTGCCAGAGTTGTCTTTTAAACTGGGAAGAATGGAAGAGCACAGGACTGAAATGCTTGTGTACTCGCTGCTCCTGTGCCATTTTCTAGATTACTGGATTACCAAACAAGCTACTGACATTTTCTGTTTTGCTGTGTAACTACTCATCTTTATAGAACTTTATTACTTTGTGTAGGGAAGCTCAGACCTTTCAGCTTCGTCATACATCCCATAGTGAGACTATGCCTAGCATTGTAACCTTTGTTTCTGAGTCAGTGTTTCGATATCCTATATTGCCCTTTGAGCTTCGGTTGTTCCTATATGGGTATTCACCTTATGCTGAATCAGTGTCAGGCATCAGTACCAAGATGCCTGAATTGGTTAATGGTGTTCTGTAAACACTGACACTGGCTGAGACAGTCTTGTGTATTTCTAGAAGTTCTTGGCTGCCTGACAAACCTTTGGGGACACGTCCAATGCTCTGGAACATTATCAGCCTAAGGAAAGTTATCCTGCAAGTTAGATTTGGCTTAACAGGACATCTTGACAGGGAAATACCTTTTAATGCACCTGAGGAGACTTCATTTTCTTCAAACAAGATGTTGCATGCAAAATTGTGCATCCAAATGTACATCCTCTGTTCTTACTAAACAGAGCTAGGTGCTGGAATAAATGTAATAATCTATTTTACATCGCAAGAATAAATCAAAGAAATAATTCGTTTGAGTGCCTCATTCTGCAGTTCTCCAAGCTCCAGAGAGGAATCAATGAAACAAGATGTAGAAATGCTACATCCTGCAATTTGCAGCATGCCTTCATTTTCTGAAAGTACTCTCTACAATCCTACAAATGTGATCTCATGTAAACAGCATCCTTGAGCTGTTTGCTAGGTATGAAAAGACAGTGAATTTTTGAATTCACTGTGTTCTACTTCTGTAGACACTCGTGTGTCAGCTCCCTACCTGTTGAGAACTATTTTTGACTCTTCAGGATACTGTCACTCCCTCTCAGACAAAACACCGACTCTCTATTGATGCTCATGTGATATTTCTCTTCTTCCCCTGAAGCCTATCATTCCTAAGTGACAGGTTGGGACTTTTACTCTGCCTACTGATCTGGCAGAGATACACCCTCTGACCTAACATTTATATATCCAACCTTACTGATTCAGCTTTAAGTTGCAACCATACTGTTCTTCAGCACACCACAATATTATTTTTGGTGTGTGAAATCATGATAGTTTCCTGGGCTAGGTATACTTTCTGGGTGACTGTTAGATAGAACTGGGTAATTTAAAAGTATTTACAGTAAACTCATGAACTGGGGCAGGAGGGGAGCAAACAGACTAGAGAGCAGAGTATCTTCCCACTCTTCATTTCCTGTGTCTGGCCTCAAGCACAATGGGAAGGCGAGGGGAATTACGGATGCTACGGCACTGCAAATAAACATTTATAGTAGAAGGAGGGGTTTTTCCCATTTAAACTGTTGTCTGCTGTGACAATTAGAGCATAGATGCTCTGCTATTACTATGGTGAATGTGTCTGTAGGAGGACAGGCACTGGGGCTAGAAACCGGAGCAATTGCAGAGGTTGTGATCACTGCATTCGCCATTGTTCCCAAATGAACCAATACCAAATGAGGAATTGCAGGGCTCGGGAAACACGGCAGCAGGGAAAACGCAAGCAGTGAGATCCCTCTCATAGCAGCAAGCGAGGTGACTTTTATTGATCATGTCATCTGATGGTATTAAGTAGAGCTTTATGAAGCATTATATAAAAACAGCATGCTAATTAGCAATCTGGTTAGCAGAACATTTGTAGGTGCTATGTATTTAATTGCATAGTGTAAGTGTACCCCCAAGTCATCTACAGAAAGAAATGTTAACAACTCAGCCATTTAAGCTGAAAACAGCGCACTACTGTGAAAGCCCAAGAGAGGTTTTTAAGTTCACGGGTTCAGTAAGAGTTTATCTAGTGAAAAGAATGAACATATTATTGATTCCACTTCAGAATGGGATTATTTAAAAAAAAACACGTCATTTTATTTCCTTATTTTCATAGTAGAACAAAAGAAAAAGCATGATGGGTCTGAGGTGTTTGCAAGCTCACATTCCATTGACTTACCTGCAAAATCAGACAAAACACAAACATTTTCTTAATTGTAGCAATCAGTGTTTGAGGTATCGAAAACACCAACTGAAATGTATTTTTGGTTGCTACTTTCTAGTATAACAACTGGGGTGAAGAATCGATCACATTCACCTGGCAGGAAGGGCTCTTTCAGACATAATTAGAAACCGTAGTTGAGTGCCGTGCTCTTCACTGCAAGGCCTGAGGGACCCCGGCAGCTCCCATCATCTCCAGAATGGCTTTCCATCCCTCGGCACACCACTTTGCAGTACCTGCATCTTCTCAGCCCTTATTCTTGTTGTTCGTTTATGATGTGCTGACTGCTGTTGACTGGAGGAGGCTAAAGGGTGGGGAGGCAGGATGGGAAGACAGAGACTCAGGAACTCTGGCAGGGGATGAGCTTAAGGAGGAAGCTGTACTGCTAGCGG